TTTGGATCCTAGTACTCGTCTTGGTTTGCCGTCCTTTTCAGCTTACTCCCTGCAGCTATCCCTAGCAGGATCCCATACATGCAAAACTGGCAGGTTTAAAAAAGCAATTGAGAATACAGTGGGAAGTAATCTGCGTTTCTCTCTAGACGTAGGTAACACCTCTTGAGCGTAGATTGCATGCATTACACTGTATATAAAACATCTTGAGGCCAAGACTATGACTTGGTTCTATTTCTTTAGGCATCAGCTCTATTTAGTCAAATTAAAGGCGGAGGGAATGCACTCCAAGAAAATACATGAGCAATGTTACACAAAGAAAATTTACTAGTCCACAGTGGAATGGTTCCCTCTGAGTTATTTCCCCAGTTCTCATTATAGAGCAGTTGGATAGTAAAGTTAGGAGAGACTGAGCAGATGAATTATGGCCGTTGCTGCATGGAGGAACCTCACCTGCTTTATTTGGGCTGTAAAAGAAAATGGATAATGACATTTTAAAGACTTCAAAATATGGGAAGCTTAACAGAGTGGTCTGGCATAACTGTCTTATAGATGCTGCTTTTGCATAATAGAATGGTACAAGAACTGGTCTATGGGAAATTTAGAGACTTCTCATTTCTGTGGAGCTGGAGGGAGGCTTCAGGTTTGCTATTACAAATTATGAAATAAAATGGTAGGTTTTAAATTAAATGTTTTAATGGTTTCCTTGTTGAGTTCTTATGAAATCAATACCTCCCCGTGAAGCAGTTTGATTTCATTGAATCAGCATTCCCTAAGAGAAAGAAAAAAGACTTAAAAAACCCGGTAGTTTCTGTTAAAACACAAACTTGCAGAAAAAGAACCAGTTTCAAGTCTGTGAGGATGGATTGCCTTGCTGCATTAGGTTTAGGTCCTGCTAGTGCCCCTTCCAAGCAGGAAGGGTGCGAGTGTCCAAGATGTTACTGTAAGCCAGCCGGTGTATTTACAACACATCCATCATTCCCGTGGTAACTGCTGAAGGAGATATGTATTTATCCTGAGGCAGGTCAGGTAGTTTAGCTCTTCCTTCCATGGAGGGAACACGTAACCACCTCAGATTTGTTCTGAGGCAGAAGTATTCAACAGCAGTTCCTGTGAAATCAGCTCATATGCAGTAAATCAGAGCCTTACTTTACTCCTGAGGATTTTCTGATTTAGCCATACACTAAAATCATTTGGATTTAATTTTTTAACATATTTTCTTTCAGTTCCTTTGCTATTTAATTCTTCCTGTTGATGGTTAGATCATTTCTGTGCTTTGCCATCTGTCATACGCATTTGACAATTCCCTGGTGAGGTCGTGATAATTTTTTCTGGTGACTATTGTTTTTGCTGTGCTCACCTAAGGAAACAAGGCTCATACAGTCATGCTCTTCTGCCTAGAAGACTGACTGTCCTACCCTAATGGTGTTTGAACCTGTTGGCCAATGTCAAACAGACTTAACAGAGTGGTAGGGCTCTTGGAAAGTCATGGTTCTTAAAGGATTGTAAAAATGAGTAGGTGAGTGAAAATGCTAACTGTGCCCTCTGTAGTGGAGAAGAGTGGACCTTAGGCACAAGTGAATCTCGATAGGGTCCTCCTGTGTGTGCCATAGCTGTGGTAAAAGCTTTAGTCAGACCTTCTTCCTCCTTGTGCAATGACAAATGCATCCACAACGTGCAAACCCACAGAGAAAAGAACGTCCTTAGTTCTGCTGTTCATAGAAGTCCTTAGTTCTGCTGTTCATAGAAGTCTTCTCCAAGCTTTTCCATGGATATAAACTTCTTCCTGTAATCTTTTCTTTTTACATACAACATTTCTTTTACATGTGTATTAATATCTATTTTCATGTCTGTATTTTCAAGTATGTAGTATATAAGTAGCTTCCAGTTGTGAGTGTAGGCTGGACCCAGTACTCCAGGTCTCACCAGAGCAGAGGGGGAGAATCACCTCCCTTGGCCTGCAGGCCACGCTGCTTCTGATGCAGCCCAGCATACAGTTGGCCTTCTGGATATTTTATGTTCTAATTCAACATTCATGAAAGCCCCAGATTTAGTTACAAATCTACTTTGGAGGAATCATTTATGAAAACTTTAGGATTTTCTGGCTAAAACATTGTTTAAAACTTAAATGCTCAGAAAGATTTTGATTGTCTTGTTTGAAAACATGAGCGTGAAAGGTGGCAAGGGAGGACGTATCCCTGTTTCCAGTACGATGCAAGAGAAAGTGGTTATCTAGTCCTTTGTTTCTGTAATTTCTTAGTTTCTGTGACTGCAAGTCCTGCAATTCACGTTGTTCTCAGTGCTGCAAGGGTCTCTGTACAGGAGCTGATCTTGTTACGATGCAGCAAGCGAAGAGCTGAGGTTCAGGCTATGATTCTGAATTTCTTGCACTCTTACAGGTTTTAATTCAGCTCCATGTTATTTGCAGAAATTTATTTGGTGATTTAATTGACTAGTCAGTGTGAATTTCGTGGTGTTCATGTGCATGCAAGGGAGAGGGAGGTTTTCTAAGTGTTCAGTGTTCACATGGACATAAACAGGTGGGTTTCCAGCAGAGACATTTGCATTTGAAAACCTGCTCTAAACGCGCTGGGCTTTCCCAGGAGAAGCAACACCAGCAGTGAAACGCAGCGATCGATCAGCATAGAATTGTGTGAGCGTTTGATGGGCAAAATGTTGTGGTATAAAGACAGGGCCCAAGAATAAGCCCTTTGTGGCTTTGTTTCATTCCTGAAAACTGTGACCGAGAGGCTTTTATCATTTAAAAAAAAAAATAAAATTAACCAGCCACATTTTGGCTAACCTGGAAAATATCGCAAGATCCTTTGCAACATTCTAAGTGCTGCTTCTTTAATCCAATTTTGATATTAAAAAAAAAATCATGTTTTTCGTTTGTCTGCTTATATTTCCCCAAATCA